AATAATAATAATAGTATTAATATAAGATTCTATATTGTATAGCCACAGTTCTACCCGACGTTAAATAAAACAACTATTAATAAAATATGGGCATGATTTTAAACGCAATAATATGAACACTGTGACCGAGAGTCAAAAAGAATTGAAAGTCAAATGCAGTGTATATTATTGAATGGATCATTCATTTGCAAATCGGTAATAGAAAGTCAGTTGTATGACAATTTATCGTTCATTTATCAATTAATTTTAACAAGACGAAATTCGCCGAGACAATAATTCAAGAACGCGACATTTAATAATACGCGGACGTACTAAACGAAGAAAAATTATACTAGTTAAATATATCGTGTACCTATGTTCCAATATACAAGGTGATTCACAAATGGTGATCAAATATGAAACCTCGTATTTTTTGGTGAATTTTAAAGGGAGTCTTTCCTATAATGTTTTATTTTTTTAAACAATTTAAAAACTAGTAAGTGAAATAATTTGAAATTATAAGAAAGACTCCCCTTCAAATTTACCAAAGAATATGAGGTTTCATTTTTGGTCACCATTTGTGAATCTCTCTGTATTAAAGAAAAACAATTCTTAATATTTAATTAACTGTAGATAGTTCATTTCAAAATTAAAAACCTGTAAATATTGCCGATTTTAAAATAATAACCAGTTTGTAAAACAAATAATATCAAACGAGATCTATCGAGACGTCTATATCAACCTGTTGAAACTTTAATAAATCCAAGATAATTTAAAAATAATAATTTTACTACTTCGCATTTCCCATTCTTGGCTCTCTTAACAGAACATAATGCAACATGGAATCTTCCAAAATACCTGTACATGCTTCAATCCAAAGGTTGATACCCTAAATGAAGTCTTATCAGAATTTCAACAACCAATGCACAAATCAAGACTAACATAATGCCTCTAAAAAATCAACTCTAACACGATTAGTTTTCGAAATATTTGAAAAAAAAAACCGAAATTTTGGAAATCCGTTTTTGTTTCATTTCAGCCTTGTTTTTATATGTAACGTTTCGTCTCTTCAGAACCATCATGACCTTTTTTTTTAAATACGACCCTAGAAATTTTATTACATTTTTTGCAAGCATTCATGACCCCCAATACTGTACTGCCCCAGCCCGAACCAGATTCAGAAGTTGTGTCTAGAAAAATTCATCTTCGAAATTTATCAAATTTTTTATTAGATTTCTATATTTCTTGAATTATTGTACACTTAAAGTGTCATTAGACCCAGTGAAATCCACCTAGTTATTTAAAATATTACCATAACACGTTACAATAAAACATTATTCATAGTTATTTCTAGGTTTCTCGAGTGCTCAAAATTCAAACAAATTTCGATTTAATTTAAAAAGTTGCCATCAAAAAGTGTTATTCTTTTTTCAATATCACCTCAAACAAGGCTGAAATGAAACAAAAACGGATTTCCAAAATTTCGTTTTTTTCTAAAAAATATTTCGAAAACTAACCATGTTAGCCTTGATTTTTTTAGAGGCATAATGTTGGTCCCCTAATTCCGTTTCCCCGATCCCTATAGTAATTTGTAAGTCTGTACAGCACCTTCTATCGATGAGCCTAAAATTACTTTCTGAAATTTTCTTTCTAAAAACCTAGTCTACTGAAGTTTTCCAACTTGATTGATGAATGATTTTGAACAGAAGACTTCGATTTTTTTTAACTTTGGTACCGCGTAGATCGAAAAGGACCAGCATTTATTTGACCAAGGTCCAATCACCCTACTTTGTTTTTAGGAATCCATCATGAAAATGTTCTTAAAGAAACACCCTGTAAGTACACCTCTCCCCCTTTAATATATCGATCCAGACACTGATCTATTAATATTACTTACAATACTCGACTTTTGAAAACGTGAATGTGGGTGTATGTCTGAGAATATTTAATGTTCACTTTAATGATACCCCAGTTCGTATAATCATAAAATAATTATTCCCGGTAATTACTAAACATGCTATATGATATTACTGGCATTTCCAAGACTATATTTAGACACCCAATTACACATTATCTTATCTAAGTGTTATTTATATCTCGTTTTCGTGTAAGTTGGAATAATAATCTTTTACGGTTATGTTCGTGTTAGCTACTTTTATGGAGAGATTTATAACAGAGTTAAAGATTATTATCAAAAAAAAAGCAAACGTCATACATCGATTTTTGCGCGATGTAACTATTTCCAAAATCATTTTGAAACGGAGAAACAAAAAACAGCTTAAGACTCCCATGAACCGGGGTCATGGAAAACAAATGAAACGTAAAAAAATAAATAAAGCGCGCTTTCGTCTAAGCAACTTCGCAGATATAGAAAGCGAGGATGTCAAGGTAAGCGACAAATGTAAGAAACTAGATAACGTACGGATTTTATAAATTGTGACAGATACGATCTAACGTCAAAAGCTAGGCTGAAAAGAAATAAACATGTCCGAGTTGCCCCGTTTTTAAACAATAGACGTGTTAAAAAATGTTAATGAATTTAGGTGAAAGTATATTTCAATATTCGTTTGAGGCGGTTTGTAGAAAACAGTCGTCAATTTTTTATGTAAATATTTCGCTAACACGAGATCGGCGGTGGACAATACAAAAAATAGCAAGTACGATGAAACTGGAAATTGCGAAGGCAAATATGGAATAAGTAAATAACAAAATAAATATTTTCTCCGCGAATTTTGTAAGAGGAGTAATATTTTTATGTAAGGAAATAGTTTAAAGATGATAAAAAAATTCTTATAAACATACTTTTACTTCCGTTTCATATTTGCAAAATCGAATATTTTTGAATTATACAAATATTTGTTAGTACTCGGATATGTTCACGTTTAATTAAAAATTTCACGGATATCACTTAAAAATCAGTACTTACTAAAATGGTTAACTGGGCCCTTTCATGTCAATTTATCAACTCCAAGTTCATATAGATAAATTTTCCTGTTTCCAAGATTAAATTTTCGAATACTTATCATTATGTAGTCCTTTATAGGTCCTCTAAGAAGACGAGGCGAAAAAATTCTGAGAATAACACAATGGGAAAAAATCTTGCTTGAAACTAACGGAGTATGCAGAGTAAAACAGCATCAGCCATTACTCTGCATGCACTAAATACGAAATGAATGTGGAATTATTATGGACAGCTTATTATTCGAATGAGGTTTGGAAAACCTCACTGAAATTATACTCAAAATTTAATTGATTACACCGAATTTCACTCAAAAATCAAAATATTGGCGCTATAGATACCAAACCCTGTTAGTTGGACTGATGTCAGTCGCGTATACTGATCACGCAAATTTTAGCCAGTAGCAGTCACGACTGGTTCTTAAATCTGTAACAATTTTTTAATAATCTAACAAATCTGCGCTTATTAAATACTTTTACATTGTTTTCTTGGAACGAGCTTACTTAATTCTCATATGGATGTCATTCGGTGATTAAAGGAGGAACTCACAACTTCCTCTTTCTCTTATCCTCCAAATTAAACCACAGAACATACAATTCTCTCACAAATACGTCCTATACAGGATGTTCCTAAATAAATCCTAAATTTCCGCAACGGAAAACTGTAAATTCCTCTTGAAAAAAGAAACATTCTTTTCCTCTCCAATTTTTCTCTCCGGGCTTTCGTTTTCGAGATATACGGTATCAAAACTTTCATTTTTTTAAATTTTTTGCCAATATCTTAGGAACCGTTTGAACTACAGAACTTAGTTTTTGTACACGCATTACCACTATTAATAGCTACTTTTCCAGACCCTTCTCTAATTCATTGAACGTGACAGTGGTGGAGATTTTAAGGTATCGTAAGGGTTTTCCCCCCTAACTTTTACACCACTGGTAAAATTAACATTTGACAGCAAAAAAAATTAACATTTGCAACAAGTAGCTATTAATAATGGTAATGTGTGTACAAAAGCTCAGTCCTGTAGTTCAAACGGTTCCTATAATATTGGCAAAAATCTGAAAAAAAGTTTTGAAACCGTGTATCTCGAAAACGAAAGCCCGGAGAGAAAAATGGAAGAGGAAAAAAATGTTTCTCTTTTCTAGAGGAATTTACAGTTTTCCGCTGCGACACTTATTTAGGAACACCCTGTATAAGGAGAATCATTTCAATGCTCCATAAGGAAGTTTTCTTTAACCGCAATGAAAATGGAAATGTTTCATTTCTTAAAAAATACATTTTTAAATATTTTTGGTGAAGGAATTAAATAAATTAAATCGATATTTTTTACCAAATGATAAAGTGGCATAACTGTTTCCGATTTCTGCACTAATTTTTTAAGAAGGATCCTATAAATCCAATGATTGCGCATCCGCCACTAGAAACCGGTACAATGATAAACATTTTGGAAATGTATACAGGGCGTTTTTGAAATAAGTGCGTTCTTTGAAAAGGGCGATAGAGGGAGATAGGTTTAAATGCTTTAGTTTTCGAGAAAATTAATTAAGAAGACTAACCGTAAATGTAAGCCGACCTTGTGCATCTTGTGCACGTGTACGGCTAAATTGCTACATGCGTGAAGCGCTTTTCTAATTAGCTGAAAGGTAGATAAGACGAAATGGCCCTGTACGTTAGTCAGCTCGATGTCCGGATATGAACCCTCTAGACTTTTTTGTTTGAGGGTGTATGAAACAAAATGTGTACCGAACGATTATTGTCGAGGCAGCAGATCTTCAACAGCGTATTTTTGCTGCAGCTAATGAAATTCGACAAATGCTGGGAGTATTTGCACTTATGCGGACTAATTTTGACCGTCGTTTCGAAGCATCTTTATTACCACACGGAAACATCACTGAACAATTTTTGTAGAGCATATAGTCTATTGGTAAGTAACTCGTTNGGGGGGAGGCAGTGGGGGGGGGCAGTAAAGCAACAAACTGTTCCAAAGAGGGTTAAAGTTGAAAATAATGTTTTTTTTTACTAAAGTTACCTAAACACTAAGGAACAAAAATAAGGGGCTTACCGTTAGAGCTCTTCAGGTCCCTATGAATCAGCGAAATCGGCGCCCTACAATGCAAATAGTCCATCCCCCTGGCGATCTGTATCGCCCAGTCCACGAGCACATCCGGCCTTATCTTCCTGCCGGCGAGGACGCGATTCAATGACCCGCCGCGGCAGTACTCTAACACTAAACACAGGTTCGGTTCCTGCAGGCACACCCCCTCCAGGGACACTATGTTCTCGTGGCACAGCAGACAGAACAACTTGGCCTCCTTGACCACGTTGTCCAGGGTCACCGAGATGTCCGCGTCGGGGTCCTGCCGCGCCGCCTTCACCGCCACCTCCCGGTTCTTCCAGATGCCGCGGTACACCTTCCCGAAACCGCCAACGCCGATCACCTCCTCGAGGTCCAGTTCCGAGAAGTCGATCTTTACCGGGTTGATGTCGGCGATTATCGAGTTCACGTGGTCGGAGAAGTCCTGGTGGGCGACGAAGTTCGAAGGGAATATCCCCACCTGATAGCAAGGACAACATCGTTACGGTCACCGTCTTCAGCGCGAAGAGTAAGGGATGCTTAAGGTGGTGGTTACACCGGATGCGAATTCGTGCGAAAAACGTACGTACGACGTCGTACGAAGTATCAGTTTAAAAATTGCCGATACGATAAAAATACTTTGTTTTTCATCAATAAGTTTGTACCAAGATGATATTTGTGGCAATTTGTAATACCACGAATTCGTATACAACGTAATTGTTGCATTCGTCTGAATATATTCGTACAAACTCGTACGAATTCTTAACAAATCATTCGTGCGAACGGAATTGGATACGAATTGTTGGTATGACAGTTTTGTCTAATACTACAATGCTACATTTTTGGTCCTACGATGATTGTCTTTCATATACAGGGTGTCCGTAAGTGAATGAGCCATACATCCTTGGATGAAAATAACCAATTTAGATCAAGTTACTTTAATACAAGTTTGCTTCCTAAAAATATTATTGGCCTTCAAAGCAATTTTAATTTGTTTTTTTTTAAGGTCTTTTACGATTATGTTTTACTTGCCAAACCAGATTGCCAAATTTGACAAATTTTAGGAAACCTCACTATTTATTGTAAACCCGTAGCACTGTTTCAGAGCAAATTGTATTGTAGTGTTTGCTCTAATTAAACTTTATTCTTTTCTACAAAGATTTTTGCAAATTCGCATCCGTTCACCTTAGGCGTATTGATTGGACAATAACTCATAAATTGATTAGTTGTGTTTTCTTTCTAAATAAATTCATACACATACATACCTATTTCTTTATGAAATCCTAAATTTTAGGAACTGTATTCAAGCTATAACATCAACACTTCATTATTGCATTTTGATTAGTTTAGTACCCTATAATTTAAAATCAAACTTCGTTATTTAAGAAGCAATATATTCTCTTATGACCAAGGTAATAGAATGGATTCAATTAAAAACGACTGCTCAAAAATTGTGAAAATTGTGAAAATATTGATAGCGCATAACGATTTAAATATTCCAAAAATACATTGAACTTTCACTTTCAACAGAAAACTATTAAAATGTGGAAATAACTAAGAAAACATTTATATCTAATTCTTATTTCTTGAAACATTTGGAGACGTTTTCCATTTGCATCATCTATCACTGAAATCTGGAAGGTACAATAAAAACAATTATTTGGAGCTTTTATTATTAAAAAAAACATACCTAGTTTAACTTCAAATATTTAAAACTCTCGTCTTTATCTGTTTACAATTAATTTATTTACAATTTAGACAAAACAAATTAAGGAAGTTTTTGAATTTAATTTTAATTTTTATACAATTTAAAGAGGTTTATTAAGTTTACTTCAAAACATGTTTATCACAAATTCAAATTATATTTAAGCTATCATATTAGGTATAAACCCCCCATATGTATATTACGATAAACAAAGATTAACTGAAATTGTACTACTATTTGTAAGTATAAAATACGTAGGAGTAGAATTTAGCTTCACCAGTACCTATTTTCCACATAAAATGTTTGTTATTGTTTGCTACAGGGTGATTCGCAAATGGTGACCAAAAATGAAACCTCCCCACTGTATCAACATAAAAGTAGATTTTTCTCGAAAACTGTCAACTTTAAAGCTTATGACCTAGAGTACTTTTTTTGTGTAGAAAACATTGGCGGTTCAAATGGGCGTCTCAAAACCGTACTTTTTCCAGTGGCGTAGAAGTTGGGGAGAAAAACACCCACTTCCCCTTCAAAATCTTCACCAATTATGACTGAAAAAAATTTTTTCTCGCACAGAACATAGCTTATTATGAGTAGTAAATGCTTACAAAAGCTGTTTTCTGTACGATAAACGGTTCCGGAGATATTCGCAAAAAACGAAATTTTTTTTACAATTTCAACACCCTGTATCTCGAAAATTGTGCATTTTAGAGGGTAAGTTAATACAAACTTTTTTTCAAATTTTTGGACGAGCTATCACATCCTGAAGTCCTGCGCATATATTATGAAACACCCTGTATATTCATGGTCATATTACATTTCATTAACACTATTGAAATGACAGCAATTCATTAAATTATTTCTTGTTTACTATGTAACTGTATACAAAGTTTGTGACGTTAGAATATGATAATTAAACATATGTTTGATACAAACTTGCGGAACGACAAGGCAATGATTTTTACTGCCATATAATTGCTTTCAAACGGGCTTCCAACCAATGGATACACCACAGTGGCAGCATAATCCTATAAGATAAACAAGGTTAGGTAATCTCATTTATGAAAAAAAATAGCTGCTTGATTTCTTGGAATTAGCTCAAAATCTCGATATTTTGATACCTACTTTTAGGATATACAGCGACGTTTTTAATTTTTGTTTAATTCTCAGACCTTTTTAAGCAAATAATGACCTATTTGTTTAATGCACAAGCTGTTGCATTTTTTTTGTTTAAGTTCAAACATTCTTTTAAAACCTATAACTTCATTTGCTTTTAAAATGGAACCGTATGTTTATTTCCCCACCATAAAAAAAAACATAAACTTGTCCCACGCGGCCATTATCCAAACTATTCATCAGAGCTCTGCGTTCGATGTAGTAAAATTAGTGCGCGCGTATATTATTATTGTTTCTAGGAACGCTAAATAAAGTAGAAACAATAATTGTAACCGAACGTGTAACGAACCCGACCGCAATAAGACAAGCAGCGATGTTACTAAAAAAAAAAACTATTTACTCGACACTGTTTATTTAGATCCACGGCAATTATTGTATTCGGTACAAGTGAATTCAATTACAGGACAGAACCGGAACCTATAAAATACCGCGCTGTAACAAAGTTCTAGGCGAAATCAAGGCAATTTATCAGATTATTTAGTTGGAGACGATTTCATTGTACAATTTTCTAACAAGCGACTTTAGTTATTTATACAGGGTGTTTTCTACGTCTACGTTATACCTTCAGTATAGGGTGTCTTGGGTTTACAGGGTGATAATCAGTCATAATATTATTAATTTTAACCACGTATTCAAAAGGCCTAATAAAAACAGAAAATCGAAAAAAAAGGCTGGACCATTTAAAAAATAAGCAAATTACCCCTCAATTCCCATTCGAAGGTTGAAGCGAAACAGCTGATTTCCCCAGTAGTCTTAAATTTTGCAATTGTTTTCAAAATCAAAGTCAGTGGATCATCATTTTATTAACAAAGTGCTATGGACGGATGAGTGTTGTTTTAGCCGTACTGGCATTTTATATAGGTAGGTACCATACCACTCTTTCAAAAGTAATAAGTCGCACAATAAGGTTATACGTACTACAAAGTGAATAATTACCTAACTGAACATAATAAATTATAAAACGTTGTGAAAACACTAACAATATTAAAAATTGTATAACCTAACATTCGAAAACAATTATTATCGTTATACATTTGTTTTTATTAAAAAATAAATACTTGTTAATATTTAAAATGGAAAAAATATCTTATTTATTCATGTGTCTAGCTAAAAAGTTTATTCGTTGTAGCTCGTTACGGATTAAAAACACATTAAAAGCTAGGTTAATGACCGAATGTTACGTTAGGTCAAGATTCACTCTCGATAAATCTTTGTAGCTCAGCGGTCAGGAGTGGATAATGATTTGAAAATATTTTTTTCAGTGGAAATACCTATGCATTTTTAATTTTTTTAAAACACGTATTCGTATTCTATACTTATTTTTTTCTATCTTCCCATAAAATTAACGACATTATTACTGAATCACCCTGTAACTGTATCTGAATATGTTTGATTTAGTCTAAGGAAACTTCTGTTAATGATATGTTTAATTAACAGCAAAAATTCATTAAACTAGTATAGAAATTCGCTAACCACTGGCGGAAATATTAGTAGGCACTGTCATAAACTAAGGACTTCGATGTCACTGACTAATTTGGATATTGAATAAATGCTCTTTCGAATCTCTACTCTACCAAAGAAAAAAGTATGACTCGATTTATTTAAAAAATAAGCTATTTTTGTAATTTTTCTTATTTTTTATCTAAATGCGCTTATTACAGTCGAATATACAGAGCAACTGTAAAATCAGCGCAACTGTAAAATAAGGAATAAAGTTCATAGACGTATATTCAATTTCTGGAAAAAATGTTTGAACAGGTGGACTTTCATTCTCAAAATCCAATGTTTTAGCATATTATGTCACACTTCTATACTTCAACCAGTGCAGTAAAAAGAGTTAAAATAAAGAGTTTTAAATGGTAGTAGGTAAATATTTGTATAAATGGGTTTTTGTTTTTATATCCCCTACATATCGGTAAAATAATTCTTCAAATTGTGATTTTAAATAAAAAATATATTAACCAAAAAAAGACTCGTTCTTCGAATAAACTAGAAAACCCTTTTTCATATAATTGTCTATCAAACAAACTGATTCTGCAAAATACCTCCAATATAGATAAAGGTCATCATTTTAACACGGCCTATTTAATAACTATCGCTATTTTGCATAAAAAAAATTAAAAATCTAAAGAAACTCCGGATGACACCTATCCACCACAATCGGAAATGATATGATATAGTTTCCTCCCGACCACTGAACGTGCTGCTATATTTAAATATTATCAAACACTACACATTATTTATTTCTTTACAGAGTGTTTCCTCTCTGAGGGTCGCTATTTTTCGAATAGTTAAGTATAGGTATAGTTTTTTTAAACGTTCGGATTCAGACATACAAACAATAGAAACATTATCAAACCTTCAAAATACTGCATTATTTTAGATTAAATACTCTTCACAATGTTTGACTAAAAATTAAAAAAAAAATACATTTCTAAACATCTATATCGCAAAATAAAACCGTTTCTTCTTTGCAACTTCTTCTTGAAGTATAGAAATCTGGGAGGAAACCACGTATGTTAAGTTAAAAACAATTAGTAGACACTGAAAAAATTAGTAAACTGAAATAGTCCCGGAAATCTTAATTTTCGCGTTATTAAATAATCCTACTCCTTTTTAAAAGTACATTTTTTTATTATTGCCACCTGCATTTTTTACTTTATTTTAAAGCTATTACGTTAGCAAAAGATGTGTTTTGGAAAATAAAAAACATGTGGACATACTTGGTTATATTAAACGGAACTCGCTACAAAATTTGAAAAGAACGAAAATAATACAAAAATAAAATTAAAGGAGTCAGTTATTATTGTGGTAAATGATGATAAGTTAAATTTATATCTCATCAATTGTCTATGGAAATAGATAAGAAGATAAATTTTAATCCACCACATTTTAAATGGAATAAAAAAAGGAAAAAAAATATTTGGAAACGTCACTTTTTAATGCGAAATTTCCTCGGAAATTTCAAAATTATGGACAAAAACCATGGCGCTATAAATTTTGATGTAATAGCTTGAATACAATAGGCATATAGGCATATCTGATATTATTTATTTTTTCTGTCTCAAAGGACTTCCTTAAAATCTAAAACCTACAAGGCGTATCAGAAAAGAAAGCCGATGATTTAAACATATTTATTTATATAGAAAAAAAGATACTGCTTTAAAAGATACAGGTTAAAATGAAAATTTTAAAATCATTCTTTCTTAATATTTGCTTTTCGAGAAAATTAATACGCATTTTTTATTTATACCAAACTGTTTATTTATTTGTTTACGACGAACACGCCTATGACTAGCCGACGAAAACCCCGAGCTCTAGTTACGTGTTTATAAAGATGTGTGCACTTCGAAAAGCAAATTAATAACGGGGTTGTCATAACCCCTTAACCCCTCCCATTTTTTGTTGGTGCGCTTATTGATTTTTTTGCTATTATACAATTTTTTTTGAAAATTTTACGTTTATTTCATAATTTTGGAAATAGACATCCTTTTTTAGACTGTACCAAAGTGGTCGAGACAGGAGTGGGAAATTATCCTGAAAATTTTGTAATTAATATCTCGAAAATCATTGAAGCTGTTAGAAAAAACAAATTTTTGGAATATTTACTTTAACGCCCTGTATCTTTTAAACGAATCATTTTTGTATATAGATTACTTTACGTAAATCACCTTATTTTGATCGCAGGAGTCTGTGGTTACCGGATTGTTGCTCTTTTCTGGGACACCCTGTATATTCAAGCACTGTGGACGAACTCACCTTGTCGCCGATCTTGCCCGTCCACCATCCCTCGTCGCCGGATATCTTGGCGTCCTCAGAGAGGACCTCCACGATCTGGCCCTTCCTGAGGGACAGCTCGTCCTCGCCCTGGGCGTCGTAGTCGTAGAGCGCTGTCCGGAGGTAGGGAGTGAGAGGGTGCGGAGGCGCCCTGGGGTGCACTCGCTCTCGCTCGCTGACGTGAACCGAGCTGACCATGTCTCCATTGCGGGGCGGTTCCATGGACCTCAGCTGGAAGTGCTCCACCAACGGAGGCATCCGTTGAGTTCGTCAAGTCTGGAAAACATTAAATGAAGTGTCTACAGTTCATCGTTCGGTTCCGTTGTGCAAATTGAAAAAATAAATGGAGTAGCTGTACTAGAACAGTAGGATTGTAAACTGTAAAAAAATCGGTGTGAGTAAAAGCAATAAAGGTTCGTAGTGAAATTATTGAGTATATTTTCACTCAATATTCGGCATTTTGATCATTTTACTCATTTGTGATTATATTTAAACTAAAACTGAGTACTTTCACTCAAATAGAGGTACTCCTTAAATTAATTCTACACGTAAACTCGTATTTGGTGCACTTGTACCTAAATCAGAGTAAATGTCCTCATTAGTGAGCGAGTTTAAATGTATATTAATTTCGAGTAATTTGAAATGGCGCCGTGAAGATGGCACCACTTACATATTGCTTCTATAATTTCGACCACAATTGATCGGCTCCAGAAAAGCGTGTTCGCCAGAAAAACAGGCCTTAGCCGGCGGCGGCGGGTCTCAGCTGGCGGATCTCAGCCAGGACAGGAGGAGGCCCCGCGAAGTGAATATTCTTCATTTCAATATTTAGTTAATTCAAAATAAAATCTGAGTAAATGACTCGATAATAGTTAAATTTAAATCACAATAGAGAAAAAGTCAACTGTAAATTGGTTTTATATACTCAGAATAGAATCAAAAGTCGCTCAATTGATAGTTAGCAGTAACTCGGATTTGAGTAAAACTCACTCATTTCTGATGCAATAGTTTCACTCAGTTGTACTTATACTAATAGAGTGACAATTTCACTCAAGCGGGTGTGCACAGAAATTGGCACACTATTGAGTAAAATTGAGTGAAATTTGAGTGATTTTTTTAGTGTACCTATACGTATATTTTCTTCAAGAATTTCTTCATTTAGGTAATAAGTTAATAAATTAAAAGGGTAATGAGCGTCTTATATAAATTAGACTTAGTTTATGAGAGTGGGATACCGCAGGAATAACTTCGTGATCAAGCTTGAGTAATATTCTCGGTAATATTAAAGTAATACCGAGTACTATTTGAGTGCTATGGTAATATTTAAGAATTAAAGCCCCCCTCGAGTTTTTGTTTTGTTACTTATCTTTTAATTCAAAACTGAATTTTCCTCTCAACTTTCCTTTATACATATAAGTACGTATAATATTCTTTGATAACAATCGCTTGATAATTTTATATGCGTTATCAAATGATTTAAATTTAGCTGAACCCGTGTGCATATTGCATAACACAATTTTTTTTTATAGTTTTCTTGACAAATGTGATTATATCTCGGATTATATCCAATACTTTCGTATGTATATTCGAAATGGCATTACTTTTTATTGTTTTTCTCAGTTATTAATAAATATTAATTTAATTATGAGGTAGTCAAAGTATACAGGGTGATTCAAAATGCAGTACAAAGAATTTAGGGGTGTATTTTTGAGGTCAAAACAAGACTTTTTTTCCTATAATCGTGGGTTCACAAATTTTGAATCACCCTGTATATACAGAATCCAAAGAAAAAATTTACGATGATGGAATATTGCAAATACATATACTAAGTATTTGCATTAAAAAGATGAGATACCGAGTTAGATCCTTATACTTCAGTACAAATTATAATTATGAGATATATTTTTAAGACTATGCAAATCAAAAATCGTAATATATCAAGGATTTGTGTCACAATTTAGTGGAGTTATTTTGCAAATCCGTATGGGTTCTATAAAAACGTCAGTAATCATAAAAATGTCACAAACTAACACCTCTGTATTAGATTCCTTTAGAAATATAATGACATTACATGTGATAAAAGAGTATTTTATTATAAGAGACAAAATTATTTTGTATACGTAACATAGGGAAAAATCGAGGAAAAAATAAAAAAAAAATTACTTAATCCCCAAAATTTAAAAAAGTAATAAGTAGATACCTAGTAATTCTAAATTTGTATGGACGTAGGTGATTTGATTAAAGGTTGTAGCACTGGTTACAAAATAATTCGTGGTTTTTAGTTTTAAAAGTAAAAGTAAAAAAGTAAAAATTAAATATCTATTTCAAGAATCATATAAAAAAAGAATTCAAAGAAACTTCGAAGTAAAACCACCGGATATGCATTTGTCGTTCTGTTCTATACATCATCACAAACTCGGTCACAAAGTAATATAAACAACGGAAAAAAAATGTCCCTATTACGAAATTTTAATTCTGTATAGGTACCTACTTAGTGTGTAGTGATTTTTAACTACTTAATTTGTTAATTCCTGGCATTTTTTTTAAAACGTGAATAATGGAATTTTCTCGGGAAATTGAGGATGATCCTGCCTTGGAATCATCTAAATATTTGCTTATAAAGTAGAAAAATATACCAAAATATACTTTAATATTTTTATTTTACATCTCGTTTTACATATAAGTTATTTATAAACTTCGCATTTTTTCATAGAAATGAGATTTCATGAAAAACTAACGAATTTTGGTATAGGAGCGGGTATAGCAAAGTTGTAGAGAATTTAATTCTGCATCTCATGGTATGAAAATATACAGGGTGTTGCATTTAAAAAATTCCAGATTTTTCAATTTTTCAATTGGCACTTTTGAAATATTTTGGTCACCCTGTATAACGCAGGCCAGTTTTTGGAGCATGATTCGGAAGAGTCATCCTCACTAAACGTCTGATAAAAAAAAATGGGCTTAGTAGCTAGTAGTATAACCTGTCAGTATCAGAAAATGTAAGCAGCCAATATCGACTAGAAAAACCTTTCAAGCGAGATATCTCAAAAACTGTGAATATTTGAATAGAACTATTCTACACAAAGTACCCTTTACTTTTGATGTAGAATCCGGAAAAAATATAAAAAATGTGTGTTTCCATTTAAAAAACCAAAGTTGGTGTCTGGCCAGGAAAAGTGGAAGACCCTGTATAGTTGAATATATTTTTAATTTGTACATTCCGAGAAATGTGGCAACACAAAAAAAGAAAAATTCATATATTCCTCATTTTAACATAGATATTGGACTTTCCCGCACTAGTGGGACACGCTGTATAAGGATAAATTACGTCATATAGAAGGGGAACAACCTGCAAATTGTCCATCAATGAAATTGCTTACTACGGAATTATTGGAAACACTTATAGAATTGTGGTCTCAATTATGGTATTACTTGGAATTATCGAAGTTATAAGAATTATATTAAGTACAAAGTGAAGGGGGGAAACCGCTGATCAAAATTTGACCACTAAAATACTCACATTCATAATTAATTACTCAAATAATTTCCTCACTCAACGAAATAGAGAACGAGATGAGGGAGAGACGACGCATGCGCGCATCATACATGTGACGTAAATCATTGTTTCAATATCCAAATATTACTGAAGTATTTCTCAAATATTATCCTGATAGTTTTCCCTCGCAAATAATAGAAAAGACAGATAGCAGGTGGGGTTGACGGCTTCAGATGCATGCACGCATGGTACATGTGAATAAATAATTGAAATATTACCGAAATATTACTCAAGTAGTGTTCATCATTACATGAGTATTACTCAAGCTTGTACCCCAAATTATTTCCGCGGTTCACCTCTCGCACAGTGACCATATTTTTCTTTCAGAACTTTGACTACCATAATGGCAATTATAGATACTTATATTTTCAAACTTGTTATGTCTCTTTTGGGTATCTCACAAGTTCCACTAAAGGAACATCTTAAAAAAGTCTTATTTTAATAACTCCGACATTTAAATAAAAATATAAGCTTGAACTCTGCTTGGCATAAATAATTGAGATATTTTCGAAATATTACTCAAATAGTGCTCTGTATTACCAAATTACTTTAGCGATTACCCCCTCCTAAGAAATGAAAAATGATATATACTTTTTAATACTTATAAAGGACAAGACATTAATTAATATACTTGAGTACATATTATTTTAATTGACAGTCATAAAAAAGTTGTTATGTACCTACCTAATGCAAGCTTTGAAGCAAGATTAACAACTTGGTGCACCAGGTACAACAATTAATAACAGCTAATTAATAACAAAACCCAAACCGTTCAAAATCACGAGTTAATAATACATGATAATAAGTGAAAAATAAATACGTTTACAGTAAATAAGTAGGTAACAACCGTCGACAGATTACATTTTCTTTGACATCGCGTAAATTCTTACCACTACACTTGCAAATATTGCCAAATATTTCTCATAGTTCCTCACGAACTAGTAAAAATACATGCACCTTTGTTCACTTTCTACAATTTTTCTGGCAATAATTTTTTAAGATAAATCTCACTGGCAAGTGATAAAGTGAGATAATACCCACGTAGATATCAGTAAACGGTTATTATTATTAATGTTCAAGGTCAATAAAATTTATCAATTTTAAGATTCGATTTTTGTAACACCATATTAAAAAAATATGTGATGTTAGATGTTATGCATTTCTTTAAGTGCTGTAACTGTAACGATTCCAAATTATTTCATATCGTTTTGCACATCAGTAGCGCGATAATAATAATAAAAAATTAACTGAATCTATATTGCAAATGAGACAATTTAACCCCAATTTTAACATTACGAGGCGAAATATTGGCAAAATAGGAGTATGTAGGTAGGTCCTTAGGGACCTACTTATATGGTATTAAAATATAAAGTCTAAATTTAGTCAGGTTACTAAATTAATCATCTCTAAAGATTTCGATATATTAAATAAAGTTAGACAGAATTTGACATATGTAATTAGACTTTTATTCAAATAAAATAAATATTTGAGTTTTAATTATTTCTTATATCTTTTAAAGCTAGTTCAGCAAAGAATAATTAGAAAGAAACTACAAATAGGTACTTTAAATTTCTTATCGCTACATGTTTTTTTTTATTCTAAATGTATTTGCATTATTGAAGTTAAAAACATCCTGAATTCAAATGTTAATGTTGTTTGTATTTTATTTTCCTGCATTTTCAATGAGAAATTTATACTTGATATTAGATATTAACAACTTCCTTCAACAGTCGCTTTAACATACAAGACCGAGTACGAGACATTTAGAATGTGCACTACATTATGCAACTTTACTACTAGTAGTTTCAGAGCAAAATTACATTTTTGAAGGTAAAAATTTGGGTAAAACATGTTTATCTGAGCGTATTGGCTTATAAAGTGTAACTTTTTTCAATCTTAACGCAAATGTCTCGGTAAATATTTATGTTCCATTGTATCATGTATCAAAATAACACTTCTCATAAATATTTTTTATGCTGAATTATGGTAAAACTAATTCTATATTAATAGTGACTGACAATAAAAATTATTACAAGCACCTTATCATAGAGCAAAGTTCTTATGATGAAATTTAATAAAAAAAGTCTCTATATTGATATTTACACATGATATTTTGGTGCCTGCAGCATAATTTCAATTATTTTAAACACGAACCTAAGTGAAGGTAGGTACTTACCTACCTAATAGATAATAGGTACTTACTGTAAAACGATATTAACATTAAAAATCTGTATACCTTGAATAGCTACCTATCCACTGTTATACTTTTTATATTTAGTTAATGATGTAGCGGGTACTGATTAGTAAATTAAAGACAGTGTCAAAGTTAGTAAGAAACGTAAAAAATCTGACGTATTTTGTACAGAAATTCCAAGTAAAACAATATATAAGTATAATTTTTTTCAATAGCAAGCACATGTGTGTGATTGAATTTTAAAATCCTGTCAGAAAAATGTTAAAGACTTCGTTAAATGGCTTTACCAGAAAAGTTGTAGGTAAAAACATTTATCGCGTCGTTTATATCATGCACTTTGACATTTAGATAATAATATCAATTAACTAGTTTACTAGTTAACAAAAATATAACATTCCAAGCAGCTATAAAAAAAAAACATAACATTGTAGTTGTGTTGTAGTTTTGTCGTTATTTGTTTTGATCGAGGTTTCTAAATAAAAATTACGATGAAAGTTATTTACCAATTCAACGCGATAGTCCTTGAATTAACTGATATAAAATAAACAATGCCCATCATATTTTAAATGATAAGGCCCGGTTGACAGAAGACATAGAGCCAGGTGGTCATTGGAACACTAATTGCACTGTACTCACTTCCACATTGTATTCACATCAATTCACTTGATAACAAAGCCGAACAATTTTTCTTATTAAGCACTACTCAGTACACAAACACCATCACTCATTTACATCGTTTTATTTTACTTTATTTTCTTAGACTGTCAGCTCGAGTTATACTGCAGCCATGTTTTTTTCTAACCACCTCCTGCTCTACTACTGCAAATACAATGCAAAATATCTCGTCTCTGTTTTACCGACTGAAAATTTAATTTTACACGTTGTTAATAGATGGCGCCACATACCAAAGAGGAAAAGCCGAGTAAGGACACTTTTTTCACTGCAAAGCTGCAAATGGCAAGTTGATAGAAATTGAATCTTAGATATTGGTGTATTGAGCAATTTTCTAAAAATTGCTAGTTTTCTTTTATTACCATATTACACTTATGAGCTCACCCCTCATAAAGAACCTTGCCTTGTGAACGTTGTCAATTCTAAATTATGCAACCAGTTTTACATGGAATTTCCGAAAATTCACTCCGGAAATATTTTACTGTTGGAGCCTATACCCTTTACTCCTCAGATAAGGGTGATCCTGTGAGACATTCCGTAGTGACTTTTGTAACTGGCCACAAATGCTTCCAAAAGTTTCCCAAATGCTTTGCCATAACTGAAACCTTAGTCCTAACGAAGTATTTACAGAGTTGCTAGGTAGTAGGTCAGTCCCCACAAAGCCTAGCCCGAGAACAAGGACAGATCAACGATTCCTAGCTAAGGCTAAGGAAATGCAAGGTAATTTTGCAACTGGCAGCGACCAGATACAAAGACCACGGCATAACAACCCGAAAAACCATTTTACTTTAAATATCAAGACGGGCGGTGAAAGTCTTAAAACCTGTATATTTTATGTTTATTTGTTTCATCTGCTACAAAATTTATACAGTAGAACCCTGATTATTCATGGGCAGATTGTGCGGGGTGCGGATTATCCGTGCTATGCCTAGGAATTTGTGGTGATGCATTATTTTGTGTTTTTGTTCAAAAAAAAACTATATAACATCATATGTTGAGGCTAACGCTTCTAACCTGAAAAAGTTGCTAATATTCTATTAGCCTATTTCGAGGAAGTCGACATTTTAAACTTATAAAAAATACACGTAGTTCTTTACGTAGGATCGACATATACAGTAATAGTATTAGAGTCTTCTCCCCCCCCTTCGCACACATCAACGTATCGAGCCGAGCAAGCAATATACGGGGCCCATAAAAATGAAGTTTAATGAAAGAAAAGACCAATAGTTGCAGGCTATTTTATATATTGTACAAGTATTCAACTATAACATGTGTAAATTTCAGCCTTTAAAATTAATAAATGAAGTCGTGGCGGTTTTTCAAAAAAAAAAAAAAAATTCTCGGACCCTGTTGGTCGTAGGACACTTTTTTTTAAATTCGTGAAAAAATGTCAACTTTAGAATGGCAGTTAATCAAAATTTTATGACCTCGAAAAAAGAAATGATGTTTCGATCTTTGAAATCGATTTGAGGCTCACGCAATATTTGCACAGAATAGTGTAATTATTAAGGAAAATTTTAAGCCCAACCCCGTTTCTAAAGATGGAGATGAATTATGGGGATTTTACAAAAATTCGTTTTTTTCGAAAAACTCGATTTTTGCAAAAACTATACAATATTTTTTAATTTTGAAAAAATCATATTATTTTGCTCACCAAGAGCTATCGTTTCACAACGCTTCATAAAAAAATAATTATTTTTGACTGATACAGCTATTTTAAAAAATTGCGATTTTTAGCAGTTTCTTTGCAATAACTAATTAATTTATTTATCGATCAAAACCGATTTGGGCTTATTCGATCCGTATTAAAAATTCCTACATTTGTTTGAAACATTTTTTTTAAATTTTTTGTTTTTTTTTTTAATTGAAAAAAAACTTTGATCTTTGGACGGCATTTTGAAAATGAGGGCCAAAAATTCAGGTGGGATAAAGTAGTTCATTGAATTCTATGGAATTTTTCCTAATTTTTACATATTTTCAATTACTGAACTATTTTTTGGCACTTGAAAAAGTAATTTGATTGGAATAATGATCGGGGTTCTATTGTATTTTCTATATTGAAAAATAATGGCTGTGGGTGGGATAAGCAAGTAAACACACTGGCTATATTTAGAAAATTCCATTGATGATAATTCAATAAGTAATTGTCTCCTAAAAACATTTGGAAATGACATAATAATACTAACTATCGCAATTGGGCAAAAGCAATTTTTATTTAAACAGATTCAAAACATCAGTATAACACATTAGAATAATTATATATAATTAACATGTTATGTCGACACGTCTTAATAGAGTGCCATAAACTATATGCAAACTTTTGATATACTCCTGTGTACATAATCTTGTGGATACATAAATATAAGATTAATTAATCACTTATTTGTAAGTTTAGGTCTAAGCAGTTCTCTGTATTTAGGTATCTTTTACAACTTTGTTTATTTGTTAACACTATTATGCTATTAGGTATGCAACAGCGGGAAGGATATTATCTTATAATCCTACAGTTGCATGGGTAATCCTACTGACATTTCCTGTAATTTGTAATAAAGTAATTTAAAGTTTTGGACCTAAAGCAGGTAACTCGAGATTTCCGATAATATTCATGGTACCTTACTTACCTCTAACCATTATAAATAGACATGTAGCAGGCCTTTGGCCAGTTAGAAATAAATCGTCAAAGTAAGCATTTCACTCATTCATAAGAATACAATCCACTCCAAAGTAAATAAACTAGTGTATTAAGCAACAAGAAGTTCATCATTTCAATCCCAAACATTTTGGTCCTTCGAGCCGGATTGTAATTTTATGCAGCAACCTCTAATGATTCCATTTCACGAAGCACATCGCTCTTACAACACATTTTTAAATAAATTAATTTTTGAACGTCCGATAAGTCCCTTCTTACGTGAATTGCCGAATTGAATAAATCGTAAAAACTTATTATCGAATGAACGAGGAAAGGAAATTAAATGGCTAGACTTACTTTATTTTGTGCTTGCTCTCTTCGGTGTTTGCTATCTTCGTGGTGATGTTTCTTCATGAGCTTCTGGTTTTAACTGTTCTGCTCTTTTCCTTTATGCTGTTACTTATCTGTCTCGAATGGACCAAAATGTTTGGGATCTAAAGTAAATAAACTAGTGCAAGCAACAAGAAGTTCATAATTTCAATCCCAAACATCCTGTTTGTTCTACTTGACAAAAAAATGCAAATATTTCGATTCAAAATCTTTATTCTCTCACACCAAAAGAATGTTTTTAACCTACTTATCGCTACAAACATATCACGATGATTTAACGACAAACCTTAATTACTACTCGTCGAGCTGCTCTGACTTAATAATGGTATTCTTGCATTTTTATTAATGTAATATGTAATCCAATGATTAAAATATGTTCTACGCTCTCTAATTACATTTGCATCAGAACTAGGATTATTATGAGTAATTTTTGGCCTAAATTTGCTAAAGTGGTCTAATTGTGGTTTTCTATGGACTTCACCTATACTGACACTGCTGTGACATTTAATTTCGCCTTCAGAAAACGATGGCTCTACTGACAGGGCATCACCGCTCGACGAATCAAATGCGTATTTATTGACATAATTAGATCTGGGTGTATTTTTTAGCATTCTACGTCTCAAGGGAAGACTAGCTACTTTTGGGCGGTTCTCACAAAATAAATTTTCTTCGTCTTTATATCTGCCGTTCTTGCCTAACTTTAAGTGAGAATTCATCAAATTAGAGTCATTTGGTACACAATCTCCATGAATCTGCATTGAGAGGACTGTAAAATCATTTTTGGATTGTTTCGCTTTGGAAGAACTGTTTTTATAACCACTTTCATGATTGTCAGTATATAATTTTCTGCCAGAACCCGTTTCACTATAAGCCATATTGCTCTTAGAATGTACTGAACCTGTCACATTTTTGCGAATGTGTGGTAATATTTTTTTCAAATCATGTGACGTTGATTCCGTTAAACTCATTATAAATTCAGGTATTGTTGATTCTAGAGACTGAACTGAAGGTATATCACATACTTTGTCTTTGTGGTTGTATCCTTCTTTAGCGAATTTTTCTTTAAGTTGTTGGAATGTATCTTGAGATCCTAATCGACTCGTAGTCTTCGTCTCTGGCACTGTGGTCTGGTGTATGGGTTCGACAATATGCAATTCTCGTTCATGTTTTTGGACATAATCTGAAACCTTCTGCTGCTCGAAGTCTTGACTCTTGAATGATTCAGAATTGACTGTTTCCTCACTCGAATAGCTTACCGTGATACTTATCTTTTCGTAACTCATATTAGTATCCTTGTCGTAAGAAGAGATACTGGTTTTTGGAGGGTCCACATTTTCTGTTTCAATTTTTGGTTTTTCTGGGGTCGAGCTCACAGATGATTTAAAAGATGATGTTTCCACCTGGGTTGATTTTGCAGAATATAGACCAAGGTCGTATAAATTTATTGGCACATTATTTGGGGAACATGATGGATCCGATTGTTTTTTTTCGGTGGCACTTATAGCAACCGTTTGATTTTTCTTTGCTGCTGTACTTTTTTTAGTTTCTGAAAAAAAAACCAATTGTCATCCTGGCTAAGTTGATTTAAAATTGTATGAGGTAGGTACATGGATTTTAATTTAATTTCTCTCTGTTACTAAGTAATTTTTGGTTTTTAGTTTTAAGATTACAGAACAGTTACAAATATAAAAGATACTACTATTTCAAAAATAGGTATTAATAATCTTATTAACAAGAATCATATTTTAAATAATGTTCCATTGAAGTTAAGAATGACACTTAAAGCAGACCAACCAGTACACTTTGCTGATTTAACACCTCATAAAATATGCTTGATTACATACTAAAAATATACATCTAAATCTGTCATACCTCCAAAAGACATTTGGTTCTTGATATACACCGGTTTATGTTGCGATATTTTTTGTAAAGTTTCAGGAGTTATGATAATTCCTGTTCGATTAATGCTTGTGGATGCAGCATTTGGCAAGCCATCGGGGTTTATATAAGTCTTATAAACAGATGTATCCATGCTGTTAACATTAAGAGGCAATTTTGTTTCACCAGGGTCATGCATGTTTGGATTATCGTATATATGAAATGATTTTAAGATCAACTCTTTGCTTAAACTCTCCAGCTTGTCTGAAATAAATGTTATAAATTTTAAAAATGACGTAAACTTGTTAAATAACAAGGATTGTTTAATAATTTTATTACAGGAGCAATGGCATATGTGCTTTGTACATATACCTTGTATATAAATAAAACTTCATAATGTGAAACAAAAAGAAAACTGACTTTAATAATATCAGCAACAATAACAATTAATAAACTACTCATATATTGTAAAACGTGATTTTATATAATTTATAGCAATACTTGACAGTGACTTAGCCCTTCTTGAAAATGTACTTGACTTATTGACAGTTAAATATTTTTACCATATGGAGAAACTTAACCCTTACACATAATTAAAAAAAACATAAAATGAATAGATATTTTGGCATTACCTGTACTTTTCGGTTTCATACTCTCTTTCAACTGTTTCTTTCTTATTATTACTAGTTCACCATCACTGACTGAGCCCATGCGTCCTGCACTAGGCGGTTTAGTGTAGGGTAGTGCGACACTGTGTTTATTGGTCAAGAAAAAACTTAATTCGCTGCTTGCACTCTTTAACCAATCCCTCAGTTCCTTTTCAAATCTAATTTTTAAGTTAGACTGATGACTGGTATGAACTAATTCATAAAATTTACTATTTCTTGCCTTGCTCTGCGAAATATAATGTGTTCTACCCTGACTATCAATGTAAAACTTCAGCACACGTTGTACTACCAATTTTCTTTTAATATCAATAGGAGGCATGTGCTGAACACTTAGTTTTTCTATTTTACACAATTTGGGGACAGACGCAGGTATTGTGACTACACAATTGGTGTCCAAACAAAGCTTCTTTGGTTGTCTATCAGTTTGGGTAGAAGCAGTTTTCATTTCAGTATCTGTGATTTGTATGCCAGTGGAAACAACATCTGGTTTTACCTGAACTTCACTTGATTGTTGAGGTATGCTTTCCTGAATTTGAACATCAGCAGTAACTGTAACTAAACGAATATGCTTAAGAAAGTGAAACAGGTTGTACGTTTCACAATTTTTGGTGCAGGAAACACATTACAACATTTAAAATAAGAAGTGTCACAACTGTACAAAATAACTAACAGTTTTATATGTCCACTGTTTTGTCCAATTTAATGATGCTAAGAAATTTGTCAAGCTTTGTATTACTACTACAGAACTAGTATAATGCTTATAAATTTTGGTCCAATAAATTGACCAAATTATATTGGTACTTGTATTTTTGATAATTTTTAGGGGCTCTACAATGTATGTTAGACACTTTTTCATTTACTTCAGAAAAGTCTCAATAGTTTATTGTCTATCACAGTAAATCAGAATTACCTTTAACATCATCATTCTCCTTGCTTTCTGACCCAGACATCGAGTCACTTTCAGCTTGTTCGATTATCGTATTAAGTTTAGCTTGTAGGACTTCAAGACTAGCTGTCGCCTCCAAATTATCACAAAGTGTGTTTTTAAATTTATCTTCGACATCCGATTTCTTTTGGCAAGACATGGGTCTCCTTGTTTTGGGCCTAGTTGATTCTAGTACTTCACAACATAGGGGTTCATAATGTATTTGTGAAATTATAGTATCTTCATCAGGAACTTTAGTCATATATTTATCATGGTCTTGGCTATCACGTTTAGATTTATTCTTTATATCACTTAAAGTGTCTTTAACTCGGTCTATCAACATGTTAGCCTCGAAGATTTTTGCTTTGATGAAGTCTTCTTGATCCGAAATATTTAAGCTGTACAGTCTGTAAGAAATTACCAAATTAATATTTTGTTTAGTGGCAAATTTGTAATTGTAAACAATAAAACTTTAAAATGTTTCTAGACAAATTAATTCTGAATACAGTACAAGTAACTTGGAATAAATTCGCAGACATCGATTAGCATCATAAATTGTACATTTTTTTTGTAGAAAAGAAATACGTATACAGGGTATCTCGACTAGAAAATATGACCTTATTAATTATTTTTTTGAGCATTTTTTAGGATATGTAGTTATATATCACTACCAAATTTTAAAAATCCATGTCATATTTCTTAGTTCTGTATTTTTCTATTAAAAAAAGTATAAATTATAGTAAATGGGGGCATTCCACGCCAAATCGACCACTTTTAACCCTTTCTATTTGGCTGAAACTTTTTTATTGTTTTCTACCCCATTGAAAACTATCAGAACGTTTTTTTTTTCAAAATTTTTATTTGTAAATGTACTTTTTGGAAAAAATAAATCAAAATTAATTGGACCTATTCTCACTGCTTCTGAATTTTCGAAAAAAAAACGAAAATTTCTCGATTACTTTTGAAATTTTTTATTTTTTTTTCTTATAAAAACTGAAATTTTTTCAGTGGTTTTTTCGTTTTCTATTTTATTCTATTCCTTGAAAAAAAAATTTTTTTCAAATTTAGCTTGTTTTACATACCATTTTGAAAATTTTTGAAAATTGATATAGAATCCCAAAATTGAAAAAATTTATTTCATTTGAAAATGAATATTGAAACTGAAATTTCAAAAACTCAAACGAGGATGATTTCGAAATGATTTTTTCGAGTTCAAATGCGTTGCACGTCTTTTTTAAAGCTTACTGATCGTCCAAAAATGGAAAATAACAACTTTTTTTCATTTACTTTGTTTTTGGATGATTTTCGAAAAAATTACAAAAAAAAATTCAAAACGATATTTTTTTTCAGTTTTCAAAAAAAAATCGAAATTTTTTTCATGTTTACCACTCAATTATTTCTTTCATATATATTTTTTCAATTTTGGGATTCTATACTTATACATTTTCAAAAATTTTCAAAATAGTATATGAAATAAGCCAAGTAAATGAAAAAATTTTTTTTTTCAATACATACAAAAAATAGAAAACGAAAAAACACCATTCTGAAAAAATTTGAGGATTTATAAAAAATGTCGGTATTTTATAAGAAAAAGAGAATTTTATAAATTTTTAAAAACTTTGTAATCGAGAAATTTCCGTTTTTTTTTTAAAAAAAAAAACAATGAAGATAGGTCCAGATAATTTTTATCCATATTTTTTCAAAAAGAACATTTAAAAACAAAAATTTTGAAAAAAAACGTCCCAATAATTCAATTTTTGAAAAAGTTATGGTTATTTAAAAAAATTCTATTTTTTTCAAAAATTCATAATTTCTTTTGAGTTGGGTGAAAAAATTCTCAAAGGTTTTCAATGGGGTAGAAAACAATAAAAAAGTTTCAGCCAAATCGAAAGGGGTCAGTTAAAAGTGGTCGATTTGACGTGGAATGCCCAAATACATCTGAGCATTTTTTTAAAACAATTATAATAATTTTTCCAAGTCAGTGACTGGCACTGTGTAGTTCATTCAGACCAAAAAAATAAAGAATATAAACAAATTTCTTATTCAATCATTCGTAAATGATTGCAAGCCACTAATTTTGTCTGGAACTGTAATTTTATTTCCTTCATGTTGGCAACTAAGTTTAGGTAAAATTAAAAATCATTAAAACAATAAAATGAAGGTTAAATTAATTAAAACACAACATTCTGTTTCACCGGCTCGTGATTGGTATAATTTTTCACTACATTATATTCAACCAATCAGCGATCGCTTTATAGTGTGTGTAGATGCAACGGTTTGTTATTATACATAAATAATTAATATTGATGGAGCTAAGATTTAGAGTTTTAATTGACAGTACCAGTCATGCAATATTGGTTGCCTAAGCCGGACAGTCGCGTGGCATGTAACCACTTATGAAGCCTCTGTTTTTGTCTGACAATGAACTAATTTTACTGGTACTCATACTTATTTTATGAAACTGTTTTACATTTAAATTTCGACTTTACTTTAAAAAGTAAAAACTTTGTGCTTTATATGAAAAGGGATATTGCAGGTAAAGGACGTAAATTAAAACAATATGGTGACATTGATATAATTTTCTTTTATTTGACATCAACTAACAGCATAGATTGTACAAGCTTTAAACAAATAGATGTCAGTTGTTATACAAATTAACAACTACAAATATACAATTTTCTGACATTGTCAATACAATTTTATCTGTGCATACAATATCACAGATTTTAAAACTTTCAGTTTTGAATCTATCCTTATATTAGGGCCAAATCTCCAACAAATAAACTCACAAATGAATATCGGGTCGTACATACAGTGAGTTAGATACAATTGACAATTTTCTTCCTTTAAATGGGTAGAGAAATCTCGTGCAACATTAAAATATTCACTGGTTTAACTGCCCTCAGTAATTTGAACAAAAACTTATGCCTCAAATATCCACAACTTTATATTAAAAAAATTGAAAAACTATATTTGAGACAGTTTTTTTTAGAGATAGATGTGCCGCGAACATGTCGGCTGAACATGTGAAAAGACTTTCTAAGTTGTATGCGTATGCGCGGAATTATTTGTTGCATTTATAATTCCCGCAAAAAATTTTTGAGGTTGGTACATGTAAAATTAAAAATATTTAGCCATTTTCTTGTAATTTTGTTGGTAATTGTTTAACTGAAAGTACTGAAACTGACATTTTAAATATATAACCTCTTTTATATGTCCATATTTTATTATTTTTGGCAAAGTTAACAATTAGTAAGTAGTAATCAGTTGATTCTTAATTTAATATTTAATACACAAATAGTTTATAAATGAAATATGACGCCAAAATCAACAGTTTGGCTATATTTTTCTGAATTGAGTAAAAACTTCTGTTCAAAAACAATTTTTAAGAACTCCAGTACAATGGAAAAACATTTAAATAAGTATATTGGCTGTACGGGGAAAATTAGAAACCAGTTTATAAAAAAGTTTAAAGGTAGGTAGTAAGTAAAATATATCGACATATATTCATTAGAATTAAAGTAATATTTTGCTTTGTACCCTCAAGCAGTGACCTGCGAAAACATGACGTCACTCATAGGTGCCTTATTAGATTCAAGATCAAAAGTACTTTTCCCGACATGTCCAGCAGACATGTCCGTAACACACTTCAGAAAAGTGGTCATCTCTAGTTTTTTTATTAATGCAATTATATAATATAGATGTTTAATGTAGACCATATGATTCCTGTGAGAAATTATAATCATTTTTACTAAAGGTTTGCTCGTCTTCCAAACTCGGTCCGTCTAGACAAATAAAAAAAAACTGAGTGTGGCAACGAGCAAATCTTTTTTGAAAACTAGTGAAATCCAGGAACTAAATTGGAAGATGTTTTAAAGATTAGAAAATGTTAAAAGTTGATTTTGTGAAATCTGGTACACTTTAATGTGATTTTCTACCCTTTCTGGTGTTCGGTTTATAAGGAGTCAGTCATGTCACACAATCACAAAAGTAGTAAATGCAGAAGTTTCTACAAGACCAATGAAACGATATCTAGACATAGAGGATTCCGAAAAATTATTTTTTTAATTCTACTTCTACACCCACAAAATTTAAAGCAAATTTTACAATAAGACAATAAGGGGCACAATATACTCCTTCTGTGAAAATGTAAAAGAAAAATTCTTTCAGTAGTGGTTCATGTTCTCATCTCGAAATTAGATGATGTAGACAATAATTCAGTTAAGACATACAATTTACTTGTAAGCCAAAAATTTTTGCTATTCATTTTTTCACCTAAGTGTGTCTTGAAATTCAATGTCCAAAACGTTGAAATGTCTCGCATTAGACATTGCTAATGATAAGTTATTTGGGCCAAGGTAGAACTAATAACACTGTCAAAACTTTTAATAATTTGTAGATGAACCAAATTTCCATCTTAAAAGATCGTGTCCGGGTACAAAAATTTCCGTTAGCAGTTGCACTAGCCGATATCCCTAATTATATAGGAAGAACAATATTCGCAGAGAGAAGGATATACCAGTTTGACATTGACCGACTCCAATGTACAATTGAGCAAAAAAAAACTAATATTAATCATTGGTCAATGCATTCAACAATGTTCCTTCGGGGTATATAAATAATACTTTATATACAAGTCTCATACAATGGAGTCTGACGTTTGCGTGTTTGCATTAATATTTAATAAGATGAAGCCGAATGTCGAGTCTTAATAACTACTAAAGCAAACGGAATATAAATTTTAACATTAAATACGGTACAATGTACAAGATAACTATGTAGATATAATATCATTACAATGGGCTAGATTGAGTTATCGAGTCGCAATGATATAAAGTGTTCAATTCGACAGATAATGTTATTTTATAATGCAAGAAATCTTTAAATATCGTTCTTAAATTACCAGCGAGTTTTGTAGTTCCTATTTATGAAGTTAGGTACTTCATATTTTGACTAGTGTACTTTTCCATATAAATAAAAGCAATGGCCCAAATGTACCATAAAATTATAAGAGTCTAACTAAGGAACGGCATTTTTAAATCGGACTGATTTTTATGTCGTTTTAAATACAACCAGCTGATGAATATACAATATTTACAGCTTTTTTTAAAGAGGCCTTTTACAGTATGAAACGATTAAATCATACTTTTCCCAATAAATAATTTAACACTACCAACTAGACAAAACTAAATATTTTTTAAAAATATTCCACATGCTAGCTGTGCACAGTAAATTTATAATAAAAAAAAAAGAACGCTATGAACTACCTCTTAAATAACAATATATTTTGTACATTTTTTAAATTTTCGTACATTTTATATACAGTATTTACAAATAAAGACTGAATACATAAATTATAGGCAAAAATAAAGAACTCAAGTCCACGGATAGACCAAGTAAAAAAAAGTAACATAACAAATCTTTCTCAAGATGTTTGTTTATATTACTACCTGATGTTATTTACAAATTCGGCGATATTAGCCATTTTTTTTTTTAATTCGGTAGGTATACAATCATAAGACGGAATCATGGACAAACTGTCCACTGTTAAAAGCTAATATTTCGACACAGCCTTCTTCTTTCCAATATACATTACCAACCGTTTTCGGCAAACTGTTAAAATCCAACATCTTTTTTCAACCTTTCGCCAGCTTTTCTACAATTCATCTCTTACTAAGAGACATCTCGACTTAGGTCGAGCAAAATGTGTCACTCTGGGAAGTGCATTTCCCAATTAAGATTCTCTTTCTTTCTTCACTTTATAATCTTCGCCCAGTATCGTCGCGATTTCTCCCTGCATAAATGCCCAGGGTACGTTTGAGTTGGCTAAGGGACATTTTTCTCCACTGGGACAATAAACCTGAAACAAGCATGCCATTTTGTAAGGACTGCTACAGTTAAACCTATTAAACATTCAATTAGTGGAAGAAATCCCAAAAGATTATTACTTAATTTGGATTGACAAAAGAAAAAATTTTGGAATGTTTCAATAAATATATACAGGAGACTCTTAATTTGACTTATAAACTTCTGCAAGGTGATTAAAACTGGAACAAGATCAAAAGAGGGTCAATTCTGACTAATTACAAAAATGTAACTGCTTGAAGAATATTATTAGAATCTACATAGAATATCATTCACAAGCTCATATGCTGAATTTTGAAAAGGAAAAGTTTATAACCTACTGAGAAAGTTAAAAATCATTGACTTACCTCTGACCCGGCACCCTGCCTCTTGATACTCTCCCTACTGCAAGGGAAGCAGAATTTATGATGGGGTACGGATGGGCACTGTACAAAGTGGGTGTCTTCTAGTCTTTCCTGGCATAATGTACACTTTAGGGTGGCGGTGGCTGTTGGTGTGGCAGCCACATTTTCTCCGTTTGCCGTTAGTGCCTCACTATTAGCTCCAGTCATGGCGCCAGCTTCAGTAGAGCTGACTGTTGTGGACGAGACATGTCGAGAACCGGACGATCTTCTGCCACTAGAAGATCCTGCTGAAACGGAAAGTAAGAGATGTAGGATTAACACTGATTCTTAGGTGGTTCAGGGACAGTTTTCATTTGGAATACTATGGGATCTACCGATATTTGACGAAAGTCGAGATAGATCAATTCTGTTAGTGAATAAGATTTTTAAGAAATTCTCCTGGTTGCCTTAGCGATAGACGGGGGAACAACCCCTTAAGAAATATTAAATTAAAATGTTTGTACACCATACAGCACATTTTTCGGCATCTGTTATGTATATTCAAATTTTAAAGATAAAATACCATAGAAAATATAATTAAAGTTGCTATGGTTTTTGGAGTTTTAGCTAAGAAAAAGAAAAAAAACGAGGCGCAAAACAAGATTTTCTGCAATGTCTCAAATAACTTTTTAATATGAAACCTTTCAGACATCATCTAATTCTGACGCTACTAATTAGTTTTTTGTCTATCATACATGTAAACATGTAAGTTAATAATTATTATGGAGGTACTGAACTGTACCAAATTTGAAGTCTGTATCTTCAATGTCTCTCGAGTATTAATCAAAAATTCGTTACTATCTTTTTTTTAACGAGCGAAATCAAGCCTGAAAATTTATCACAATTTCGCTATTACACACTGAGTGCAATATCTGTATAAAAAATTTTTTATCTTCAAAATTAAGCATTTTTTTATTAATCATCAGTATCCAATGCATATACACGTGATTTGTTATGCACTTAAAAAAAATTTAAAAATTAAACATCATAGAAGTGTATAAAACTTAATTTTTTAAAAAATATGGTATATCTCATTTAAATTTCAAGTGACCCTATGGCTTAGGTTACCTGGTAGAAGTCAAGAGGGTTATTCCTAACGATTTGCCCACAAGTTTGGGGGAGTTCAGATCGTCAGCTTTCAGAGGGTATCACTATTGACGCCGTCAGATCTGACGCATATAAATTTATTATTAATTTATTAAATCTATGACTCCAATAATGGTTAACAGCCTAAGTGATAAATTACCTCTGTTGGTGGCACACGTTCCTAGATCTAACGGCGTCGATGGAGATGCCCCCTGGATGACGACTGCCTAAGCTCACCTAAAACTTTGGGCAATGATGTGAGCATTAGGGAAAACCCTCCTGTTCTTTCTTTATGTATATTCAAGGGTCAAACTGCCTACTGCTTGTACTATGCCAGTGAGATTAGACAACAGTTGGGTACAATCTTTCAAAATAAAATAATAGAATTAAACTCACTTCACTTTTTACATCAAATCACTATTTTTTATATTATTGCATTCATTTAAAAATATAATATCTAAAATATTTATCTATTTATTTTGAATACAATGACAATTTATTACTTTGACACCACAAGTTAATCTCTGACAAATCTTGCTACAAACTGTAACAGTTTTGAATACATTCAATAGATGAAAATAATTTTAGATCATCATCCTAAAACAGAACGTGTGTTTGAAGTTTAACCGAGTTTAAGGGATGCCAATTTCAAGAACTGACATTTCAGGTCAGCTTCGGCAATTAGAATCACCGACAAAAGTATCATTAACAACAAACCCTCCGGACATTATCGCGGTATCGATTCGGTTAAATGTAAACAAAAAGCCGGAATTATGAATGGGAGAGACCTACCTGTTGAATTCGGAGAGTGTTGGGAGCCCCTGGATGCCGACCTGGGGGCCACGTTAGTGGGCGGGCTGCCTCCCGTGGACCGCGGGCTGCCCGGAGGCAGGTTGTCGGCCACAGACATGAGGGCGGCCATGGGGCTCTGCCCCGAGCCGGTCGTCGGCTGGCTTTGCTGCGTGGTGCCGGCGGCATTTGCCTCCGGCGGCGAGCCGGTACGGCTGGTCAGGGGGGAGCTAGAACTGGTTCCGTTGGCGCTGGCTACGGACACCGGTGCTGGAAAAGAAGCCAAATAGTCAGCATTGATCGCGAAGAATCATTTATTTGTGAAAATGTACCTGTCGTTTTGCATAATTTTTGAGATGGCCTCTTAAGTACACTTGTTTACTTCTTAGTTCGTTTTTAATATAAGAGTATGTACTGTACCTAGGAGTACAGAATATGTAGATATGGCATAAGGGAAGTAGTTACATATTAGTGAAGATTATAGTAGGATCGTATTCGATGCAAAGTAGAGCAAAAAGTTGTCGGTCTTTTATCAAAGGAAAATCGTGTCAGCATTTTTAGGAGGTGTACGATGAACTATTTCAAGTTTAAAATGAAATTGAATGTAAAATCTGAAATACCGCTGCATACGCACTGTGTTCTGGTAGTAGCTGTAGTCGCCCAGGTACATCGAGTGTACGAACTGGTCGGTTATACGTCAAATACTAACCTGGCGAGCTTGTTCGGAAATAAGAGAGCGCCTCCAAAAAACAAGTAAACAACAGTGGCGCGTACAGAGGTAAAATGTAGTATATATGTAGAATTTAAAAACAAATTGGATTTATAATAAATTACATTTAAAATAAATAGTTTATGAGAATAAAGGAGTTTTTGTAGGAACAAGGGTGCCAGACGTGAACTGATCCCCTCGTCCCTTCATAATGTATAAAGAAATTATTCAATTTCTAAAACCCTTAAAAGCGTACTGCGTTGGTTGCCTTGATAGCCAATGATTTATTACTTTGCATCGAATATGATTCTACTATAGTTTAGTATTTTTTATATCAATAGAAAAAAAAAACACAAAAATGATTGATAATTTTCGGAAGTACGTCTAAAAGTTATTTTATTTTATCAACTTTCAACCCCCTACCTCGGAAACAGCATTTTTCGACAAAACTTTATTTGAACTACCTCTTTAAATATTCATGGTAGAATATATTGATCACATTTGTTCGATTAGTAACTGAACTCTTTATATAAAAAATACATAATGAATGCAAATATGTTTAATTATTTTCAGTTAGCTTAGTCCTTGTTTGGATGGAATTAATATAATTTACAAATTTTTATTAGGTACTTATACAGAGTGTTTTCTAAGTCCGTATCATAACTTCAAGAAATTGTTTCTTCGATCATTTTAAACTGAAAAGCCTTTAATGAAGCAAGGTTTTCGCAATACAAGGTGACGAGGTCTTAGAAAAATAACAAATTATAATATTTTTGAAGATGTTTGAAATATGTCGAATGAACTTACTTGATGATAAAATAATTAATTAAAGATAAACATGTGCTATATAAATCTGTAAGCCAGTGACGGACATACTAAAAGGTGCCCTCACAAAGAAACCGGAATTTCAGCGCCACTGTGATTTTGTAAATGGATGAATACGTACGAATAAGTACAAACTGTGAAATGAAACTTAAAGTAAGCTTCATCGAACAAAAGAATAGGCTTAAAAAACTCAAAAAGTAACAGTGTAACTATCAAGAGCAACTGGCGTAGAAGTTTTAAAATAAATGCTTCAGATAATCAATTAGGGGCAATATTAATAACTAGACTTCTGGCTACATTGAACTTAAAATTATGTCTTAAACAAGAGATTTCTATAGGCACATTTTTTTGTGAAGTGAATAGCTTTAGATTGATTCTTATTCAAATATGTACCTATGTGATAAACTTCTTCCTAAAATTTAAATTGAACAGAATAATAACTCGAAAATAAGTGGATGAAACCTTTTTTCTTAGAAGTAACATTAGAAATTAAATTTAATATATAAAATAATGGATGACAGAAATTTTGAATTCTCTATTATATCTCAGGGAGAGTTTTTCTTAGTATCTATGCCACTGACTGACTTTATACTTGTTCAGTAGTTTGCTTTTAATTAAAAAAGTATTAGGCCAAGCTACATTAATCTGCGTTAAATATTTTAATAAATGCGATATATTTTTTAAACTTTGACTCAGTCTTTTTAAATTCCTCTCAAAATTATTACATGAACTTAGAAAACACCGAGGAGTACAATTAATAACCAATATTTATGTATACAGGGTCGGAAAGTCCCCATGGTTCATCGGCCGTTACGTGAGAGCGATAAAGTAATAGAAATCCGTGCGATAGAGAAAGATGGCTATAATGAAGGCGTCTAATAGTCACCGCCCATTGCGCCCTTCCACAAATAAGATCCACTTTATCGCTCTCACGTAACGGCCGATGAACCATGGGGACTTTCCGACCCTGTATGTATAGTACGCGTATTCTAAGAAAACGAGCCGAGAATTGTTGGACATGCTAGTGGTTGGATTAGTGACATCATATAAATTCTCACTACTAGTGTCTCCTTAAAAACTAATATTAACCCTTAAAAATAACCTATATACGCCCATCGAATCCTTCTGCCTCGTTTCTATATAGCACATAGCGCGCGTGCGAACGTTTATTATTAGAGCTTACTTAATTAAATCATAAATGCGCAATTAAATAATTCATGCATCGGCATTTTATTATTTAATAAAAATCGCGGACCATAAATACACGCGGCATTATCGTCGGGCAAGAAACGCGATCTCGAGTCGGTATCATGCGATAAGCTCGTGTTAGAGAAGCACAATATAAAGTGTTTGCTCGGCAACTTGTCGGCGGAACGAAAACAGTCTGTTTGACCAGTTGGCCGCGATATCCTCCAACCTCCAACATACTTTACAGTTGGGTGATAAAGCGGCGAAACGCGACAACAACGCATGACGACACTTCCGTTGGATCTGTTAAAAATACGTAACAGCAGAAAAACTTGCTGTGGCCACATTCTCGCGCGCCGACGACGCCCGAGCCTTGTCGAAAGTATTAATTGCCGGGGCTACGTCACGAGACGCGTAAAAGGAGGTCACGTGAGGAGCACACGTATCGCTGCGCAACGGCGACCAAGATTTCTCGCCGTCTTATGTGTGACCTCTACGAGATCCTGCTAGCCCGATAGAACAAACGGTGCAAAAACACAGAAACCCGCCCAACTGGCTGAATTCGGATCGACGACGCGGCTGGTGCGCAAACCGAGCCGAACGGAGCCGATTGAATCCTGGGATAACCGCGCTGTATTTGTTGCGCTCACAATTATCGGTCTGGATGAAAAATCGCTTTATTAGAATTGTCTTCTCAATATTTACAAGAAAACTCAGCAATGAACCAATATTTAGTTTCAGGTGTCAGAAAGAAATGATTGGACAGTGATCTAGAGGGTCTAGACTGACAAACCCGATTCATATTTAAGACACAGTACAATGCAGTACCAGTCTTTCTGTTAGGCTCAGAATAGATTCAGGCCGTTAGGATAAGAAACGAATAATTGCAGTTTTTGTTGGGCTCAGAATTGTTTATGAAGATGGCTTTATTAAAATTGTGCATCGAGATGTGGATTTAATATTTTCTTAAGTGTGTAACCAAACTCACAATCAGCAATAAACATTCAGTCTCCGGTCTGTCAGGAATGATTGGACAGTGACCTGGGGGCGAGACTGACAAATCCGATTCCAATGTACCGGACACTATTATGCACAATATTTGAGAATATGTACCAGAGTATTTGAGAATAGATCTCAATTAGAGATGGTTAGATGTGTAACACTTGTTTATTTATCAAGTATTGTAATAGTAGGAAAGAGTATATATATATTTTATTATGAAATGAAAACTATCGTGGTTGCTTTGAATCAAATCTCAGCTGTTCACAAGGAATGCACCAGCCAAGTGTTTATTTGCCCTTGAGATAATGTAATTTACGAGTAGTAATATGCATCTTGAATATGCTGACAAGTTGGGTAGCTTATGATTAATCATATATCAAGCGCTCTAGCTACACTAGCTTTCAACCCATTCAAAACATTGGGCCTAAATATATTAAACGTATAGATATCAATATTTATTGGCAAATTAGTAATTATCTTGAGTGACCATGTACGTCTAATGAGACATGTTAGACAACATACGTCAATGATATATTTTAAACCAGGTAATTTTCCTATTTCCTATACATTAATTGGAAAAAAATATATGTAGAAACCCATATGTTTATTTCGATGCCAAGCGTTGTTCGTTTAATTTGGACATGATTGCTTAAAAACATCTGCTCCATCAATTAGCATTTTTATAGGTATGCATTTGTTATTTAACGTCAGTGACGTCGATACCAATACAAACATGCAATTCCTAGCCTCAAGATATATTCGTGTTTGCTCAATGATACGAGGCTCGCCTGTGTGTTCTAGACAAGTAAGAAATTTATAATCGTTTTTTTTTGCAATAGTTTTGAAATGGAGAAAGTATGATACTATTTCAAAAAATCCAATGATTGCGTAATACTTAATACGTATAAGTTCATTATCACATAGACTGACGCAAATGCTTATGCCCGCACAAAAAATATGAATATATTTAGATAGGATTTTTCCATTTCTACATGAATCTCATTCAATACTGTTTGTTTTGAGAAGTGAAACGTATTTTATTTTTGCTGTTTATCAGGAAAAATGTTGTTTACATCAGTAACACCACATTTATTAAACTGAAAAAAGTATATTTTAAGCAATGCGCTAATACGGAGTCCGATACTTTTGAAAATTATTAAATGAAAATTAAAGCTAGATTACAATTTGAAGGTAACTGGAAGTTATTCAATTACGACAAATTTCCAGAACTAATTCCTCTGGTTAGCGCAAATAAGAGTAACATTTGTTTTTAAAATTATAAAAATTGAAAGTGAAATACAGTTTCTAGTAAAACAAGATCCACTGAATATATATACTTTAATTCTGACAGAGCAATTTCTTCATAGTATCTACCCTCATTTGCAATCTTTGAATAATCAGATCTCTTAAGGGTACGTTAATAGTTGAGGCAGATTGAGATAGAAGCTAGAGACAACAGCTATGCCCACACATCGTCATACCAATATGACTATGCAGATGCTAACGCATGGCTTGTTGCTCATGTCTCTAGCCTCTTCTATCTGAA